CATCAACCAGCAGGCAGAAAAAGTTTTTAAAAGAAGAAAGAGAGGGGCGGGGGGGGGTGGGGGGTAGAGATATAGTAATGTTAATACAGAAAAAATAAAGAACTCAAACTAAAAAGCATTAACGAGAACAAAACAGATTGCTTCATTTGCCAAGAAGATATAGTTGATAAAATTTAAATGCCAAACAATGTAATTTCAAAATATATGAGGCAAATATTGTTAGAAATATAAAGATATCAGAAAGTCTGCAATTATAGAGGGAGACTTAGCTGCAGTTGTTATGGTATAGATAGATCAAATAGACTAATAAATTAGTATATAGAGAGATTGAACAATACAATTAATAAGATTGCTCTAATGTATATGTATTCATGTACTCAAGAAAGAATGCATTTTTTTTAAAATATGCTTTTATTGATTTTTTGAGAGAGAGAGAGAGAGAGAGAGAGAGAGAGATAGAGAGAGAGAAGGAAGAGATAGAAACATCAATGTGATGTGAGAGCAGAACATTGATTGGCTGCCTCCTGCACTCCCCCTACTGGGGATCAAGCCCATAACCAGCAATCAAACCAGCAACCTCTTGGTTCATGGGTTGACACTCAGTCACTGAGCCACACTGGCCAGACAAGAAAGAATACATTTTAAGTAAAAATATTTAAAATATTTCAAACATACAGAAAGGTACCTAGTATAAAATGCACATTTCCACATAACTGTCACACAGATTGAGCAAATTTTATTTTCTGCAGATCTTCAGATCCTTCTGCTTTTGAAGCAAAATATTACAGTTGAAGCCCTCACTTTATCCTATTCATCTTACTTCTTTTCCCCAAAGAAGCACCATTTAGACTTTTCCTTCTGTCCATGTTTGCTTTTCTTTTTCTACATATGTAGATGTCTGCAACCAATACACACTATTATTTTATGCATTTATTTTATTTTATTTTAATTATTTTTTATTGTCTAAAGTTTTACATATGTCTCCTTTTCCCCCAATTGACCCCCCAAGCATTCCCACCCCAGACAAGCCCCCACCGCCCCAGTGTCTGTGTCCATTAGTTATGCTAATATGCATGCCTACAAGTCCTTTGGTTCCTCTCTAACCGCCCCCCTATTGTCTCTAGATTGATCTATTCTTGTTCATCAAATTATGTTGGTCATTATATCCCACATATGAGTGAGATCATGTGATATTTATCTTTCTCTGACTGGCTTATTTTGCTTAGCATAATGCTCTCCAGTTCCATCCATGTTGTTGCAAATGGTAAAAGTTCCTTCTTATAGCATAAATTCTGTAAATTGTATCATAATAAATACATCCTTTGAAGCTTAAATTTTTACTTATTCTTTTAGAAATTTAGCAGTTTCATACATTTAAATTTAGGTCATGTATTTTAACTGCTGAATACTATTATATCAATTTTCCAACATGATATTACTATATTATTGTATGGACTTCTGTTGCATGAATTATCCATTTTCTTTCCTCTCTTTCCCTCCTGATGGACTTGGGTTGTTTCAGTTTTGTGCTATTATAAATGGGTATTTAATGAACATGGTTCCTTGTGGCCACATGGAAGAGTTTTTCTTGGGCAGAGCTTCCCAGCTAAGTAATGGATGTTCTTATATATTGATCCCCTTAATCTTCCAAGAAGATGATCTGACTTACTGCTACCCTGAAGACTGTTGTCTCTGGCTAACAGCAGACTGTGTTCATCCTAGTGAGCTGGTATACATATTATCATTTTAAACATTTGCATTGATGTGAAAAAATTGGGGGGGGGGGGAACTGCTCTAGCGTATGTATATTGAAATAAAATTTCTGCATCAAAGAGTATGTACTAGTTATCTATTGCTGCATAACAAATTGCCCCCAAACTTAGCAATTTAAAATTTATATAAAACAAACACTTATTATATAATACTCTCTGTGAGTCAAGAATCTACTAATAGCTTAACTGGGTGCCTCTGGATCAGTCTCTCATGGGGTTGTACTCAAGCTGTCATCTGGGGTTTCAATCTCACTTGCAGGCTCATTTGGGGTGGGATGTCCACATCTAAGCTCCTTTACATGGCTATTGGCAGGCCTCAGAAGATCCACTTCCAAATTCAATTATGTGGTTGCTGTCAGGCTTTGGTTTCTTGCCACGTGGCATCATAGGTAAATTTTACCAAACAGTCAAATAAGAACTAACATCTACACTTCTCAAACTATTCCAAAAAGCTCAAGAGGAGAGTTTTACGAGACCAGCATTACTCTCATTCCAAAACCAGATAAAAATACCACAAATAAAAAAAATTATAAGCTAATATCCCTGATGAACATACATGCTAAAATCCTCAACAAAATATTAGCAAACCAGATTCCAGCAGTGCATTAGAAAGATCATACACTATGACCAAGTGGAATTTATTCATAACATGCAAAGTTGGTACAACATTCTCAAATCAATTAATGTGATACACAACATAAACAAAATGAAGGATAAAAATCATATGATCATATCAATAGATGCAGAAAAAAGCATTGGACAAAATCCAGCACCCACTTGATAAAAACCCTCAGCAAAGTGGGAATATGGGGAATATACCTCAACATAGTAAAGGCCATATATTACAAAACCACAGCTAGCATCATATTCAATGGGTTAAAACTAAAAGCACTTATCTTAAAATCAGGTACAAGACAGGGATGTTCACTTTCACCACTTTTATTCAGCATAGTACTGGAAGTCCTAGCCACAGCAATCAGAAAAGAAGAAGAAATAAAAGGCATCTTAATTGGAAAGGAAGATATAAAACTGTCATTATTTGCACATGACATGATATTGTATATAGAAAACCCTAAAGATTCTACTAAAAAACTACCACAATTGATAAATGAATTCAGTAAGTAGTAGGATATAAAATAAATATTCAGAAATTGGTTGCATTTTTATACACCAATAATGAACTATCAGAACGGGAAATTAAGAGAACAATCCCATTTACAATTGCATCCAAAGAAATAGCTAGGAATAAATTTACCCAAGGAGGTAAAAAATATGTACTCTGAAAATTATAAGACACCGAAGAAAGAAATTGAAGAAGATACAAATAAATGGAAGCATATACTGTGGTCATGGATAGAAAGAGGTAACATCATTAGTTCTATAGATTCAACACATTTCTCATCAAAATAACAATGGCATTTTTTACAGAACTAGAATAAATAATCCAAAAATTTATATGGAACTGCAAAAGATCCTGAATAGTCACAGCAATATTTTGAAAGACCAAAGTTGGAAGCATGCTATCTAATATCAAACTATACTACAAGGCCATAGTAATCAAAACAGCATGGTATTGGCACAAGAACAGTCAGATAGAACAATGGAACAAAACACAGCCCAGAAATCAACCCACACCATTATGGTCAACTAATCTATGACAAAAGAGGCAAGAATATACAATGGGATAATGACAATTTCTTCAATAAATGGTTTTGGAAAAATTGGACAGATACATGCAAAAAGTGAAACTAGAGGACCTTTGTACACCATATCTAAGAACAAACTCAAAATGGATAAAAGATTTAAATGTAAGACTCAAAACCATAAAACTCCTAGAAGAAAACAGGCAGTAAAATTTTTGACATTTCTTCTAGCAATATATTTTTTGATATATCTCCTTGGGA